CTAATAAGGCATCATAAGATACTTTAACATCTTCATGATAAAAATCTAACAAATATATTTTTTTTCTATCACCTTCTGAAAAAGGTTGGAAAGACTTTTGTGGAATTAATATCTGCGGATTTGTAAGTGCTGCTTGAATTAAAAACCATTCATTTATTTGGGCTATAAATGTATCTAAGAGAGGGGGCATTTGTTTTATAATACTCTTCTATTGATCAGAGTTGTTAAAGTAGCGCGCTATCTTTTTTGGTAGCTATAGCTAATAGCCGCTACTTTTTTTTAAAATTATTTAATTTTTTAGCGCGCTACTTCGCTACTTTTAAAAAATATAATGAATGTAAGTATAAACATGAAAATTTAAATATAATATCATAATTAATTATAATTTTTATAATTTATTAATTAATTTTGAAATTTAAATATATTTTCAATTTTTAATTTATATTTTCAATCTGTGTTAATAATCTAAAATGGCATCGCCCATGGATATCCAAATCCTTGAAAGTGATTCAGACATGGAAGATTCAATGGAAGAAAATGTACTTAATAGCTCTAATAACGATTTCCCATTCCCTAGATTTGAAAATTTTTTTAAAATAAATATTAAAACAAAATATGGATTAAAATTCCTGTGCTTAAAATGTAAAAAAAATATATCATCAAATCAATCGAGTAGCTATAACCTGAAGAAACACTTAAATGTAAATTGTTATTTTTACATTATAATATTATTTATTTTATTAGACTGTTCACGCCACTTGCTATAAGGAAATAGAGAAACATATAAAAAAATTTGGTATAAGAGAATCTTCATTCAAAAAGACAAATACTATCCAAACCAAATTAACTGATAATAAACATGCAAATATTTCACAAAAATTGGCTGATAAAGTAATTGTTGATTTTATTATTGACACAGTTCAGCCATTGTCCTTGGTTGATAATCCATCATTTACTATGATGATTAAAACTTTATCCCCTAGCACAACAGTTTTATGTCGCCAGACACTTATGAATAAAATAGCCGACAACTTCAAAGTGATGAAAGATGCTCTAATAGTAGAGTTATCAGATATATCTTATGTATGTACACCGGCAGATAGTTGGACACATAACAGAAGGTAAAAACTTATTTATATTTATAAATTGATCTGATTAAATATTTTTAGAGCTTCCTTGCTCTCAAGTGCTAGTGTCGAGAGATTATTTAGCAAAGCAAAGCTTATACTTTCTGATCGTCGCTCTAGACTTGGGGATGATAATATTGAAATAATATTATTATTAAAATGCAACAAATTATAATAAATATTTATTTATATTGCTTATTTTTTTATAATCTAAACTAACTATATTTTTATATTTATAAATGTTGATTTTTATATATTATTTATTATACATTTACATTATAAGCAAAAAAAAATAAAAAAAATTTGTTTCATTTGTTTCTAAAATTTTTTTTTGACAAATAGCTATAGCGGTAGCGCGCTACTTTTAAAAATAGCGTTTAACAACTCTGCTATTGATCCTATATTAATGTTTTGACGATGAGCTTGCTTGCTGCAAGTCGAGGGGGACAAATTTTAAACACGTATAGCTCTGCTTTTGACTCAACAATAACATATAAAATATGTTCCTCATCAACATTAGCTCTAATTTCTTGAGTTCTAATAAAATGCTCTCCGCTATTCTCATCTCAAGTCAATGTCATGTTTTTGAAAAGTATTACATAAAATAGTTGTATAATTATATAATATATTCTAATAGAAAAAAAATTTGGAATAAGTATTACCAATAATTTTCTTGCTTCTGAAGAAATATTTCTTTCAAGCCATTGTGCCATTGTCATATTTCAGTAATAGCATAATAATCGGCTCTTCTAACTCCATAAAAGCTGTTATGCTTGGTGGCGGATCGATCACGTTGGACAAGCTTGCAATTTCTTTTTTCCTGTCGGACAAGGAGCTTCAGAGATAATTATTATTTGACTAGAAATTTAGATTAATAATACGCCACTAAAATTTGAAAATAATAGTTACATTATTTTCCAAGGAAAACTTGAAATCGAAATTAATTGATAAAATAACTTAGTAGATGTATGTAATAAATAAATGTAATTAAATATATATATGAGATAGGAATAAATATTAACAATAATATTTTTTTTTAAATATAATCTGGCATCTGCATTTTTTGTCTTGGGGGGGGGAGGGGGGTTGTTCCCCTGCCTCCCCCTCTCCCGCTGCGTAAGCGCCTGCCTATACCCGAGAACTTTAATATATTACTTTTAGGATGGGAGGTAGCTAATTTTAAATTTAAATTCCTTGGTTTAAATGAAAATATCGATATTGAGAGATTTAATGATCATATCAATTGAATTGCGATTTATCCTAAAAGAATAAAATTTAATATATATTATTTAGGGGCGTCGCTAGCCTTTACAATATAAGGGGGCTTAACTAAAAAAAAATTAAGGGGGGCTTCGCCCCCCATGCTCTCCAATTTGTGGGCCTTTGACCCGCTTCTGCCCGGCCTTCGGCCAGGTTTAATATTAATATATTTTATTTTTTTTAAATTTGTTAACTCTGAACAATTATTCTGAATTTTAATTTTCTCATTTATTATATTATGCATACAAAATAAACTGGCATATAAATAATTAAAAAAATACAAGACATTTCCAAAAATAAAATTTTTTAATATAAAATCTATTTATTACAGTATAAAATATTTTCGATTGCTGATATAAAAAAAATTTGAGTCTAAAGAATTACAAGTGATAATAAAGATTAATTAATTCATACATATGTCTCAATTGATAATAGTTTTTAAAAACCACATAATGCAATAATATAATTCCTAGCAACTTACATTGACAAAAGGTGATCAAACTAATATAACTCCCTGTTACCATTTTACACATTTATAGGATAAACTAATAAGAAAAAATTTATAGGCCTAGACCAAATCTACAATTCTTGAAGAAGAGAGTATAAACGACCAATCTAAATCATAAAACTATTAAGTGGTTAGAGCTTCCTTTTAGATGACATGATGGTAGCTAAATAAGTAATCGAGAAAATTATTGTGAGATATTAAATTTCTAAAAGATTATCATCCATTTTAAATGATAGATAATATATAAACGGCTACACAGTTGACCATTATTGTTAATCTAAAATATGCAATCATATGCTCTAAGCCGTTGTAGTAATAATCTTAAATTACATAGCACACAAATAATAGATGCTGGTTAATTTGCAGTAATAGCCATGAAACCACTATGTAAACTAGTATCAGAATTTATTATGCTAGATAAATTGATAAAATAAATACATAAAAAATCTTTGGAAAAAATAATTGTGCAAATATATTGAAGCCTTGAGTTATTTACACGGCAAGGATGCCATATTAGAAATGAAACATTTTGGAAATATAAAATAAGGACCAGAATGATATGATGAAACAATAAAGATTTTATATATTGTCGCACCACCTCTAGTTGGTATATTATATCTTAAAATAATAGTAGTTTGTAAAAATATCAAAAATATACTTGTATTAAAATTTAACTCAAAACTGTTTTTTGAAAAAGAAAAAAATATATTTCCTAACGTAGAAAAGAAAAGATATCAAATTTATTACATCTAAATATATATAACTAAATAGATAGAGTTAAATACTTGAAAGCAAATTGTTACTATATTTATTATCAAAAGCATTTATTAGTAAAATTCATTACAATATTATCTGGATTATATTATAACTGTCAAATATGTCTATAAAAGTGGCATTTTATCAAATATTTTATAAACAACTGTATAGAGGATTATAAAACTATATGTCTACTTACTTACTTTTTATTATACTTATTTGGGCCTTGAAAATATTTTTAGGAATAGGTATGATAATAAAATTTAAAAATAAATATAGAGTTGATTAATCATTATGAACTCTGCTAACAATATTAAATTTTTTAGTTTTCAATTAATAAATGATTATATTTATTTAATTAGGATTATAAAATAATTTAAATAATAATAGACAATTAAGTTTCAACTGTTAATGCTAAATTAATATTAATATTAATATTCCATTTTTAACACAAAATTTGATTGCTAGCTGACATAGTGAAAATATAATTTATATGTATTAATTTAATCTAATATTTACTCTTTTAATAAATATTAAGATCTTATTAATTTTTAAATAATAAAATTAAATCTTAGAATTATGAAAGAAATCTTTCAGGGGTAAATCAAAAAAATTTATTTTTAGTTCACGGGGTTAAGATTCCATTAAAAAAATTTTTTTTGCTTCAGGGGGCTATTCAAATTTTCCAGGGGGCTCAAGCCCCTGTGCCCTCCCCTAGCGACGCCACTGTCTAACTTCTCAATTTTAATATTCTTGTTCGATTAATATGGCTGAAAAAAATTCAGTAAAATCTTTTTAATCTTGATAATCTATTATTTCCATTTGTAGCATACACTTCTACTTGCACCGGAAAATTGAGATTTTTTATAGACATTATTCCGAGAGATAAAATTATTTTGAATCATAAAAATTTAAACATATGAAAATAAACCTAATGAAAAAAAGTGCTCAATATTTTACAACACGATGAGCTTTTCTTCAAATACAAAAAGTTTTACTTGTAAAAAAAATATCAGCTTAATAAATTATATCAATATAAAACAAGCTATCACTTACTAACTCAACCAATCGATTGAAATATTCATAAATTTTATTATAAAACATTTAAATATTGGAAATCGGAGAAATTCATAAATCACTTATTAAGGCGTTCAAAATGCATAAATAAATATTATAACTTGTATTAGAAAAATTAATGATATTTGATTCTTATGTTTTTATAACCTTTTTAATTTTAATATACGTGTTATGTATAATTTAAATAATTTTTACAGTATAAAATTATTTAACCAAATTTGACCTGTCGAGCCTGTTAAATATGATATATTAGCTGATTGTTTACTAATTTTCTGACTTTAGCAAAATTCTGGTATATTCAAAAAATATGTTGGAAATATTTTTAAATGATAACAAATGATATTTTTTGAAGAAGAATCGGATGATCATATATTAAAATATTTAGCAACAAATGCAGATGTTTTATACATTTTATTTCTTTAATCATAACTTAAAATTGAAGGTAAATCCAACTATCAATGAATTCTTATTTCCATTTCAACCTTATGAAATTCAAAAAGAGTTTGCAGCTAAGCTCTATGAAACTATTGATAAACGATGCATAGGGTTATTTGAAAGTCCAACTGGCACTGTTTTATAGACATATTTTTTTTGTAATTTTAAAATGTTTAGGGCAAATCAATGAGTATTATATGTGGATCTTTGTCATGGTTAATAAAACATGAAAAGGAAAAAAAAGAAAAATTGCATGCTTATAAGTATAATAGAATAATTTAAGTTTTTAAACATTCTAGAGTTGATGATTTTGCAGCCACTAATGCTAAAGAACCATTATGGCTCTTTGAACAGTCATTAAAAATACAAAATGAAAATGATTTGATAATTTTTCAGGTAATTTTTTTAAAATATAATATAATCTTAATATCTTTTCAATTGGTTATGTGAAATAATTATAATTTTGAAAATGACAAGATTAATGGGTATAGATAGTCATGTTAAATAGTTGAGTGTACCAGACTCAGAGTCTCTATTGGTAAGTCTATTTGGTCAACTGAGTTTTACAACTTAAGTCTTGAAATCTAGAAGAAAAAAAAAATATTATTTTATTAAAATAAATAGATAATTTAAATAGATGCAATGAAAGAGAATGTATTAAATATACATATTAATGTCCTGCAAGATCAGCATAACCTTTTAGTCAGGGCCTGCAGTAACATTGTCAATAAAATATACTCCTAGCTTGTGGCCTAAAAATATTGATGCTATATTTCTTTCATTTTTTATGTGATTGAATACCATAATTATAAAAATTTTAAAAATCAGCAATTGACAGTGGAAAATATTACTTGTTCCACCAATTTGGTACTCTAATTTCATATATAACTTGTATTTAGTTTATAAAATAAATCTATAATATTATAATCCCTGATACTCAAATAGAACTGTGAATTTTCATTATAGTGAGCTGTCCCAGTCAAAAAAAAAGAAAAATACAAAATATTTTGTGAAAAGTCCAATCAAATGAGGAAAATGATTAATCAAAATAGGAAAAGTGTCAATGAATAAAAAAAATCCCACAATATATAGTAAACCAATCAACATCCTTAATTTTTGGTCATCTTTTTTTCAAATTTTTTGTGATCTCTTAATTTTTTTATTTTTGTCATATTTTCTTAATTTATTTTTTCTTTAAATTTTTTTTCTTAGTATCCTATTAAAATAATCTCTTTGTTTTTCCTGTCATCTTTGTTCAATTCTAGATTTTTTTGTGATATTTTTTTTCCTATCTCATTGCCATTGTTGAATTAAATTATATTACTTCATAATAGTGCAATTTAAGATCAATTGACAGGCAAGGACTTCTTTTAACCACAATATAGCCATATCTCAATAAAAATTGTGTTTTTTCACTGGAAAGGCATGAAAATTCAAAATATCAAGAGTACAGAGGAATTGATTAAGTTTGAATTAACATGAGAATGCCAAGAATTATTTTTGAAATATTTGTGTCCATATTCCAAAATATAGAAGAGTGGAAAGTTTTAATGATAAATAAAATTTCTTATATCTTATTCATAAATTTAATGAAATGATTTTAATCCGCTACATACTGAATCGTTATAAACAAAGGTTTGGATCCCTGGTCATCTGAGTATTCAATCATTTTTTCCTATTTTTAGAGTAAGTCTTGATGACAGTTTCCTCTATAGGTGTCTCATTTTTATCAATATCTTTTTTTAAAAAAGAAATTTATTTTCATCATAAGGCCTTTAACATATTGTTGAAGAGAATTCACAATTAATATCATCCCTCGTTAATAGAATTGCTGATATCCAATTAGCCATTAGAAATATAACATTTGAGAGAAGAATTAAATGAGATAGACATATAATTTCTTTTAAATACTCGGTTTATATTTGTTTTATATATATGTCATATCGGGATATGGAATCATGTGGGATCGGAATCCCAACGTGAGGATACGATATCTTGAATCCCCATGTTTTATTTGGAATCTTTTTTAAAAAATATGACGAATCCCCATGTATATTTTTTTAAAACTTTTAAATTATATTTTTTTCTTTCTTTTTTTGCCATCTGGCTGGCACCAGAAAATTTCATTTTTTAGAGATATTTTATTTTCTGTTTTTGTAAATTTATATAAAATAAAATCATAAATATTTTCACCTGAATATATATTTTAAAAAAATCAGAATTATAAAAAAATATTCAGTTCATTTTGCAATTGCATAATAATGTTTTCCCATAGTATGTGACAGGGAAGCTCCTAAATATTTTTAGCAGTTTAAATAAAAAATAAATATATTTTATGTACATCAATTAATTTGAGGAGTATATGTGGTTACTATAAAAGTAACTTAAATTACCTATGATTGATATATCTTTGTTGGGAACTTAGAAGATTAGAGGCAATAAATGGTGTTGAAATTCTTCCAGCACACGTTCCTACCCATATTTTATTTTGTTCACCTAAATTTTTAGGACAGATAATAGTTCTATCTGTTTTATGAATATGTAATAACATGTGATAACCTAATATAAAGTTATTTTGTCCAATTATTTGAGAATAAATTAAGTTTTGACGCCCACGATCATTTAAATATAAAATAAAAGGAGGGCCCTTTTTAAAATATTCGAAATACTATTCCCAATATTATTGGTAGCAAAACTATTTTTCCATGTATAAATTATCAATAAATTTATTTTTAATATGAATTAAGAATCGTATTGGGGGGGGGGAGGGGGAATTTTGTTTTCATTGAAATTTTAAATTATAATATTTTAAAAATTTATTTTTGTCTTTGTGAATTTTTAATTTTCGTTTAAAATATTTTTAATGCCTCAATTTTTTTTTATCCAAAACAGATACAGAATATAATTTTTAAAACCACATTAAAAACACCCAAATACAAATCTATTAATTACATGGAAATATAGTTGTGCTATCAATAATATTGGGATAGTATTTTTAATATTTTAATAAGGGCTCATTCTTTTATTTCATATTTATATGATCGTGGGCGTCTAGAACTAATATCTGTCCTAAAAATTTAGGTGAACAAAATAAAATATGGGTACAAACGTGTGCTGGAAGAATTTCAACAAAATTTATTGTCATTAGTCTATATAAAACTATAAAATTAAATGATTTTTAAGTTCCCAACAAAGATATATCAATCATAGATAATTTAAGTTATTTAGTAACCACATATACTCCACAAATTATTTGATGTATATAAAATATATTAATTTTTTATTTAACCTGCTAAAAATATTTAGGAGCTTCCCGGAATGTCATAAACTATGGGAAAACATCGTTATGCAATTGGAAAATGAGCTACAATAAATAATTTTTTATAATTCGGATTTTTTAAAAATATATATTCAGGTGAAAACATTTATGATTTTATTTTATATAAATTTACAAAAACTGAAAATAAAATATCTCTAAAAAATGAAATTTTCTGGTGTCAGCCAGACGGCAAAAAAAGGAAGAAAAAATATAATTTAAAAGTTTTAAAAAAATGTACATGGGGATTCGGAATATTTTTTAAAAATATTTTAAAAAAGTTGTGATTCCGAATCCCATGATTCCGTATCCCAATACGACATATATAAAATTTAATTAAACAATGATAAAAAAAAATGCTTCAAATATAAAGCAATGCATTACATTGATTTTATTTTGTAAAAAATATATATTTAGTTAGATATAATATGTTATCATCACATCAAGTGCCCACTAATCCAAGAAAATATCTATTGTGCGATATATCTATATACTCTACAATAAATAATTCATAAAAATCGAAAATTTAAATATTCAAATTTACATTTTACTATAAAAAATAATTTATTTATTGCCTATTTTTTGGATACCAAAAGGTAAGTTCTACTTTTTCGGGTATCGGAGATTTTGTAAAAAAAATTAATCGATCTTTGTCGACCTTTATTTGCTTGCTTATTACTGTTATTCTTTAAAAAAATATCTAAATTTGATTTTGGATATTGTAATGCTTAACGCTTAGAAAGAAATACTGAATAGATTTTATTTAAATAATAAATATTTAAATCAATAAAGCTCAATTTATATCGCAGAATTGTTAATTATAAATAGATCTAAATGATGGTATGGTTTTAAAAGGAAATAAAAAATATTATGACCTAATACATTGTCCAATTTGAATTTTTAAACTGTTTTGGATATAATAATAATTTATTGCATTAGGTCCTATTCGGTTAGAAAAATTGGCCGGGTTTAGGTTTGTAACTTTTATTTACTTTCTATTTGCAATTTTATTTTATAATTCGTATATATTATTTACTTTCCCATATTTTTTTTTAAACTCGAAATCAAATATTATAGAAGGATGTTGAAAATATTACAAATTTGGATAGACGTATTTTTGACTCTAAAATCATCAGAGATTATATTATGTATCCTAAATATGAAAAATCCTCCAATAAGGCACAATTTTTTTTTGAATTTTTTATTATATTCATATCAATTATTTTAGATACCAAATTTAGACCACGGTCTTGCTAATAAAAATTATACTAAATTAGCTAACGAAATTATGCTGCAGCGTAAAGAAAAATTAGTCCAAAAATTTAAAGATGTCCACATAGACTCGTTAAATTTCGATGATGATTTGATGTCTAAAGCTCACAAGACCAAAGTTTTCTTTTTTCATTATTTTACCTTATATATATTTTGTATTTTAGATCTACTATTGTAGTCGAACACACTCCCAATTACAACAATTTATCAAAGAGATTGTTAAAACTGAATATGCTACTAAATATAAGATAAAAGTAGCGCTTTTGGCATCAAGAAATCATTATTGTATCAATCCTCAAGTTAAAACATCAAATCAAGAAAATATATGGCTTATTAACGAAAAATGCCTGAAAATGGTGAAACGATCAAAAAAGGATCTAACAATTTCTTGTGATTCTGATGACAGTGACAATATTATAGAAGATCTTGTTGATAGAGTATAATCTAACCAGTTTACAGCCTCATTTTTTGCTTAATATTTTAGAATATTAATGGAGATATAGTAATGAAAAATAATAAAAATGAAATAGGAATTAGTAAGCTAACAAAAAAACGCAACCGAAAAGAAATTAACAAAAAAATAGAAATACGTTGTCAGTTTTATGATATGTTGAACATTCAAATTTTGAGAGATATCATTTTATCCGACGTTCAGGTTTATAAAAATAATTTCAAATAAAGATCATAAATCTTTTGAGATAGGGCATTTATTCCTCGTTTATGTTTATATATAATATAGGATATTGAGGAATTAATAAATGAAGGAAAAAGAGTAATAAAGGCTTGCCCTTATTATTCATCAAGATCAGCCAGTGATGAAGCTCAATTAGTAGTTCTACCTTACAACATAATCCTTGACCCAGAGGCCAGACAGGCCAATGGCATTGATTTGACCGACAATGTTTTGATAATCGACGAAGCTCATAATTTAATTGAAACTATTTTTAATATCAATTCTAATGAAATAAACGGATTACATGTAAATTCTTTACATTTTTAAAAATTAAATTTTACTTAGCTTTTGAGATTATATTATCAACTGTCAAAGTATATGGAGAGATTCGAAAAACGATTCACGCCTGATAATATGAAACAAATGCAAGACGCATTAAATATTGTTGAAAATTTGGTGGAATATCTAAAGGAATATCATAATAAACCCGCCAATAAAAGTGATTAGATATTACTAAATTATAATATATTTTTTTTCGCAAATCGATTTAAGCATTATTTCATAATTTAATATGATATTTTAAGTTACCATATTATAATAGACAATAATTACCTTTTTATTATAAATTATCGTGATAATGAATCTACTGATTTTAATATATTCACTTCTTTCATTATTTAATTGCATACATGTGGCGATTCATTTTCGGGCCCTGCTTTTTAAAAATATTTATGATAAAATAAACTTAGACAATCTTCTGTATTTAAATTTTAGATGTCAAGTTGGACCTCAATTTTTTTCTTTTCGAATCCCGTCTTAGCAACTTCAATATTTACAAAATTAGAGATTTTATTCTAAATTATCAAATTGCCAACAAACTATTAGGTGTTAAATTAAACGACCTATCCTCACAGAATTCAAATTTAACATGGATAAAAGCTAAAGATGAAACATCTTTTTTGCAAAATTATTATGATTCTAATCGGATTAAAATTTCTCGCTGTTTTCGATCATACGTCACAAGTAGAATGAATGACTCTCAAAAAGATGGATATATGACTGGCGAAAATAATAGTTGGATGAATAATCATAATTTTGGAAATCCAGTTATAATTTTTCAAAATTTCTTGACTTCTTTAATTCAACACAACGATATTGATAGCAGAGAAATACCAACGGGAAAATTGTTTATTTATTTAAAAGGTTTTGCTAGAATTATATTTTATCAGTCATCATTATTTCTTTTTATGTTTAAGATAATTATGTCACAAGCCTTTTAAAATTTGTGTTAGTTAACCCTTCCTCACCCTTTCGTGACATATTAACCAAGGCTAGATCCGTTATTTTGGCTGGAGGGACAATGAAACCAGTAAATTCAAATAAGTTTTAAATAATTTTTATATAGTTCGAAGATTATAAAACGCAATTATTTTACCCTGCATTAGTTGCCGAAGATAAAATTATATCGTTTGAATGTGGTCACATAATACCTAAAAAAAATTTGAGGGTCATTACATTGACTCATGGACCAAATAAGATAGATTTGAATTTCTCTTATCAAGTTTTATTAATTAAAGCAGGCAATTTTATTTCTTATAGAATAGAAACAATTCTGCAATGATTGATGAGATAGCTTATCTTTTGTTAGATTTAGCTGAAACCATTCCTGGTGGTATTATATGTTTCTTCCCATCATATAGTTTCGAAAACATAATGTTTAAAACCCTTTGTCATAATGTTGATCTAATGAGTGGTATTCAAAAGCACAAAAAAATATTGAGAGAATCCAGAGATGGATTTAGTACTGCATATGATGAAATTAACATGCTTAACATAAATCAATGTGTATTAACGCAATATGAAAAAGAAATTAAAGTTAAACAATCATTAATTTTTTAAAAAATGATATTATCTTTTATATTAGAAAAATGGAGGGGCCATATTGTTTTGTGTAGTGAATGGTAAAATGAGTGAAGGTATAAATTTTAACGACGATTTAGCGAGATGTATTGTTATAGTTGGAATGCCATATCCTAATCTTCAAAACCCAGAGTTGATTGAAAAATTGAGATATTTCAAAGAATTTACGAAAACCAATCCAATTAAAGGCTACCAAATGGGTGATAGTCTAGATAAAGAATATTATCACAATATGTGCATGAAATCCGTTAATCAGTGTATAGGTTTCATTCATTTTTATAACCAAAATCGATTTTTATATTATAATTAACCCTACAATGCAACTTTTTATACGTTTATTCCTACCTAGCTATCCTAATATATTGTATATTCGCTATTTTCTCTGATTTCTCATGTAAATTTTTAATCATTCTCTATATGAATGATAATAGGATTGGTATGAAAGATTAATGTTATTGATATTTAAGAAAATATACATAAAATTATTATAGGACGTGCTATCCGGCATAAACAAGACTACGCTATAATCATTTTAAGTGATAATAGATATAATAAAGCTTATATCAAAGCAAGATTGCCAAAGTGGATTAAAGATAGCATCGAATATTACAATGATGATACCCCTATGGATCATAAATTGTTGAAAAATAATATAATCCAAGTTTTTTTTAATCAAATTTTATTAATATTATTTATTTATTTTAGTTTTTCCGAACTGTTCACTACAATAATGCCCAATTATAAATATATGAGCAATCAACGATTTTAAACACAATAAATATGTATTAAATTAGTCATAATAATATATTGAATTTATTAACCAATGTCTATTCACATTGATAATAAAATTTCATATTTAATTCGTTTTTAAAGTAATATAATTTTTAAAATTTTTATCATAAATTGGTGGGTCAAAAAAAACTACTTATAGATTTTTGTTTTTTGTTATAGCAAAAAAGGTATTACAGAAGCGAATCCCGGAATTTCCAAAAGGTGGTTTATTTTATTTATATTATTGTTTATTAAAACAAATAATGTAAAATAAAAATAAATAAAGTACATAAACTAATATAATTATTCTTTTTGATAAAAATTTAAAATTAGGATAATTTTCATCAATATAAATATTCTAATCTTATTTCTTCTAAGGTGCTTTAGAAGACCTTCTTTTGAGGGAAAATGAATTTAGTCTCAAAGCTGATTTAAATTCTATAGCTCTGAATTAATCCATAGATATTAATTAAATCTTGAATCACATATTTTAAAGATTTGATAAAATTGTCCATAATTTCTATAAAAAGAATATAAATATAGAAAAATAATATTTTTCACTAAATATAACCTACATTCCTAGTCGCTTTAAGGCGTTTTTAAATTTCTTTTAGACTCCATAATATCTGCGGTTTCTCATTTATTGGTAGAAGACTAAAAAGACGTTTATTTTTTAATCTTGTTTCACTTTAAATCGTATGTTAAGAAGTAACATCATCTAGGAATAATATTTATATCTTTAAATATTCTTGTGGGGATCCTTTACACTTTTCTTTTTTAAGGTAAATAAAGGCGGTATCCTTGCTTTAAAGAATCTGCCTTTTCTTTATTTCATAGCGTACAGTGTAGATATATTTTAATTCGTAATCTTGGCCATGGTAAGCGGAAAAAAATCCCGGAAAAAAATCCCCGGAAAATAAATTCCCGGAAATGAATTCCCGGAAAAAAATACCCGGAAAATAATTCCCAGGTAAATAATTCTCTGGAAAAAAAATCCCCGGAATAAAATTCCCCTGGAAAAAATTTCCCCACTATACATTGAATTGCTAATGCATTGCTAAACTGCATTGCTAAAAGGCAATCAATCATTATCAATTATAAATCAATCAAAAATTTATTACGTATATTTTTTTAATGATAATTTTTTAAACTTTTTTTAAAATATATTTAAATCATTTTTTTATTATAAATGAAGAATACTGATTAAATGATATAGTATATAATTTTATTTTTATTTAATATTATTAATAAGAAATTTATTTTTCTAGCTTATTAAAACAAATATACATTTTATTTAATTTTAAAAATTAACAAATATATATCCGTAAGAGGGCGTTATATGTTTGAATATGTATCATTTTAGGAAACCGGAATGATGATTGGATAGCACTTTTTTTATATTTGGGTATATATATATACATGAAAAACCTAAAAATTAAAAATTTTTTTTAGGTTTCTTTGTGATGTTTAATGAGTAGGTTTAGAATAGTAAAACAATGGAAATTTTTTAAAGTAAATATTGCTGGCGTTATTTATCAAAATCTCTTCATTTTTGTTTTATACGTGTATATTTACGTGCTAAGCATTATTCTAAAAAATATTAAAATAATTTGATTTGACCGATTGCCGAGTTCAAAACCGACCACTTATTAAATATTTGATTGATCAAATTTGCTATTAAGATAAATTGAAAAATGTTGATTTTTGTTTTATGTATCTATAAATACGTATAAAACATAATTCCAAAAAATATTTTAAAAATATCGTGATTTGACCCGAAAACCGACCGAATGACCAAATACTGCATTGCTGGCGTTATCCATGGAAAAATCTTCATTTTTGTATTATACGCGTATATATATACGTGCTAAGCATTATCCTAAAAAATATTTTGAAAATAATTTGATTTGACTGATTGCCGAGCTCAAAACCCCACTTACTAAATATTCGATTGATAAAATTTACTAGTAATATGATTCGAAAAATGTTCATTTTTTGTTTTATATATCTATAATTACGAGTAAAACATATACGAGTCGGTTATCCGCCAAACCACGATATTTTTAAAATATTTTTTGGGATTATGTTTTATATGTATTTATAGATATATAAAACAAAAATGAACAATTTTCAAATTATATTACTAGTAAATTTGAATCTAGGAAAATAATTCCCCGGAAAAAAAATCCCGTGACCCGGATCTGCTCTGCAGTATTTAATTAAATAGAAATGTTTTTTAAAGTCAAATTTCTTCGAGGATTTGAGATTTTAAATAATAAAACGAAAGTTAAATAAATCTAGTTCACCTTTACACACTTTCATCAACTTTTAGGTATTTATTGAAAAATTATTTTTACACAAATTTTAATCATTTTTTTAGAAATATGATAAAAGGCTTTTCACAGTTTACTGACTCTTAAATAGCGCCCCTTTTTGTTTTTACAAGGATAAGCTATTAAATAATATAATTTTATAAATTTTGTGACTAAATAGGAAATTAGCAATTCAATCTGATACCCTCTATTTGATAAATATTATTTTACTGAAGTATTTACCTACTTTAAGTATTTAACTGACTGAATACAAAATCACTATAAAACTTGCAAAGTTATATTTTTTACTGCCCAATTTTAATTAAATACTTCCAAAAGTAATGAAAAATTCTGACCACTTTAATCAAAATACATCCAGAGGTGATTATCAGCAGTGAGTATTATATTTTTCTAATCTAACAATTATTATTTTGCTTATGAATTTTTTTCAAAAGTTACAGAAAAGAAATAATTATAATTTTATTAAATGATATATAGAATAATAAATTATATTATTCAAAAGAAACAATTCTAGAACGTATATGTTCTCCAATTGAAGAGAGAAAATTGGGCAAGTCCCTTCTCTCTTCTAAATAATCAATGCATAAATTTTTTAAAATAGTTTGTTTCGTTGCATAAATACGATTTTTTTTGGGAGTGTATGTCCCAATATTCCATTGGCCGATTTTTCCCATATCAACCGCTATTTCCATCCTTATTTTTTCGAGTAGTTCCCATATCTTCGGTTTTTTGTTGCCTACAATATGCTTAAATCGGTTATTCCATCCTTCACATACATTGTTTGTTCGATTTTCCCCAGCAATCGTAACATTGAACACATTCCATGTTTCTGGTGGGAACAATGGCTCTACTTGCCTTTGAGAGTTTTTCCCATGTCTCAATTCTCCATTCACATAATTTTTATCAAAATAAAACAATAATTCTTTGTTTTCATCCGATACAATGGTTTTTAAATACTCCATACCTCGTTTGACATCGTGTATAGGTAAGAATGCTAATCCATCGATCATAGCTGCAAATAAGCATAACATTGGATCATTCCGATATGATGATTCTAACCCCAATTCCTGAATCTTTCTATGAGTTGATTGAGTTAGATGATAAAAACATCCTTGGATGTTGATATCTCTACCTAAAAGTTGAAAAAATATAGATTAAAATTATTGTATAGGTTTTATTTAATATTTATGTCTTTATCAATTTTTATTAATTGTACTGTGTGACAAGAAAAATGGGAGAAAAAATAAATAAAAACAAGTTTTGGTGCAGAATTTGACATTGAGTTCGAATTCGTTTTCTAAGTTTTCCCTTCACGTCAAGTTTTAAAAATATTATCGTATAAAGGCAACTTTTCGAAATCTCAAAAATGGATATATTTTAAAAAGTATCAAATGAAAATCCCTGAAAATTGGTGATAGTGTTAGATTTATATTTCCTTATAAATTTATTAATTTTTATAATTTTTTATCGATTGCTTTTTGAGAAAAATGGTAAAGAATTTCGTTTTGGGGGTCTTAAGTTTTCAATTTAAATTCCCGGCAAGAATCGTATAAATATGTTGGCGGACTACTGCTGGAGTATCTTTTTTGAAAATAAATCATCAACTTCATATTCTCGGAAATATATTTAGATTTACCATTAAATGTTTTAAAATTCGATAAATTTTATGTTATTGTTTAATTTGTTTTAAATTCAATAAATTTATTGTATATTACAAGTTAAATCCTATATAATAATGAAGGAGGGGGTGAGACAACGGACCGATAAAAGGTTTATTAAAAGTAAAATATGAGATAGGTTAGCTTAGCATAATATATTTATTTAAATATGAGAAATGTAACTATTTCATTTAAAATAAATTGTTTGGGAATCGTACCTTGTGCAGTGTAGCGAAGAGAACGAAAGCTACAATAAATATATTAAATGTAAGCTATATTAAAAAAGAATCTAGAAAAATAATTCCCCGGAAAAAAAATCTCCGTTTTTAAGATAATTAAAATTACAAAATTAGGAGAAAAAATTCCCTATAAATAAATCAACGAAATAATAATTCTCAAATAAAATATTTAAAAATTTTGATAAAATTAATTCTGAAGAATTATTAGGATTATGTTTTATACGTATTTATAGATATATAAAACGAAAATCAACATTTTTCAAATTATATTCCTAATAAATTTGGTCAATCGAATATTTAGTGAGTGGTCGGTTTTGAGCTCGGCAATCGGTCAAATCAAATTATTTTCAAAATATTTTTTAGAATAATGCTTAGCACGTAAATATACACGTATAAAACAAAAATGAAGAGATTTTGATAAATAACGCCAGCAATATTTACTTTAAAAAATTTCCATTGTTTTACTATTCTAAACCTACTCATTAAACATCAAAGAAACCTAAAAAAATTTTTTAATTTTGAGGTTTTTCATATGTATATATATACCCAAATATAAAAAAAGTGCTATCCAATCATCATTCCGGTTTCCTAAATTGATACATATTAAAACATATAACGCCCTCTTACGGATATATATTTGTTAATTTTTAAAATTGAATAAAATGTATATTTGTTTTAATAAGCTAGAAAAATAAATTTCTTATTAATAATATTAAATAAAAATAAAATTATATACTATATCATTTAATCAGTATTCTTCATTTATAATAAAAAAATGATTTAAATATATTTTAAAAAAAGTTTAAAAAATTATTTA